GTGAATCAATGCGAGTTCGTCCATCGGACCCCGGGTAACGTTTCATGTCTGACGATAGGACCGAGTCTAAGCCGATAGACACGAGATTAATCGCTGTTCAAACGGAGGATTAGTTAGAGCGAGACAAGGGTTTAGCGTTTGCTTGAAGTGTTAAAGCCGATTGATCCGGAACATATGATTAGATACCAAAGACCAAAGACCAGGAGAGAAGACCCGGAAAGACTACGAGAGAAATTAGCAGTGCACTTGCGAAATAGTGCTGTGACGAATTATTCAAGCAATCGGAATGAAGTACAAATCTGACTGTTTCCAGATGTAATGCGATTAAAAAATAAAACAATGCGCTTATGCCTGATACAAATTGAACCTTCTAAAGCAAACACACTGATCAGATCTTGGGGCACATTCAATGAACTTTTCACAAGAAAGGCTGAAAATGGATGCTCAAAGTCACAACTACCATTGAATTCAGAGGACATTTCTATCGTACCATACATGGAACGATAACTCAGCTACATTCGCTGAGCGAAGCGACAACCATGAGTGGCCATTGGCGTTCTAATCAACTCCGAGGTCACATACAAGTACGGAGCGGAGAGCCAGCGTCAATCGTGTGGCTGAAGCAGAACAGACGATCACACCCCGCTTGAATGTGAAAGGGTGTAGTGAATGACAGATTTGGAGGAGTCAAAGACATTCAGGCACAGCACAGCACCTAACGAACCAAACTAAGTCACTTGTATTTTACATGAACGAATAAAATTCAATAAAAAATAAAATAAATAAGAACACTTCTGATCATCACGGTGTATCAGTATTCTAGTGTACGTCTTAGTGGCCACTGAGCATCATTCGCATGAGAAAACAACAAAAAAGGCTCTGATAGCATAAAGAGACGGGCTTGTTGGGAGACAGTGCTGAACATTGGAAGAGTTCAGTAAAGGTACTACAGGCCGGAAAAGTAAGATCAGAGGACAGGAAACCGAAATACGCCCGAGTATTTATTCTGAGTAGACTCTTATAGTCTAAACTCCTGTCTCTCTAACTTCCTATAACTCTGAATATTTGACAAAGCAGCGATGGATAGCCGACATCATAAATGCCCGAGTGACCACTGATCCTCAGAACCATCAAAGCCCAGCGGAATAAACCCGGTCAGTGCCCCGCCGTGAGAGTCGAACCCTGATCCATCCCAGACATAGCTCTGTCAGCAACTCAGCCTTCGTCGGCGATCAGCAGACCCGTCTCCCCGTGGACTCTGCACTTGTGACCCGCGGACTTCGCCCCAACGCTTCGTCAGCCCCTGACACCGCGTCAGCCGCGACAGGCAGTGGACGTTGGAACGTTTGCTGAGTGTTATAAACCAATCGGTTCGGGCCTCGCCGCGGCGGCGATGAGAGGGTACTTACTACTTTGGGCGTGTTGCTAGACTGGGTCTGGTCAGTGGAACTGGTAGCTGAGTTTGACAACCGAGCAAACGATGGAAGTTGGACGGATTGTTGAGACAAGTTAGTGGAAAGCTGGGCAGAGCTCGCGAAACAAGAGTCGATAAAGGTTGTTAGAACTGGAGCTGACTTAGTCAGACTGGCCTAGAGTCGGACTGACTAATGGGATAGAGGCAACCCAAACGACATTGGCTAGACGGGATTGGCCGAACGGAATGGGACAGAACGAGGCGAGACGGGAGGAAAAAGAGAAACGGAAGGTATAAGAGGACGGGAGGGAACAAGACGAGACGGAAAGAGACTGACTATAAGGAACAGACGATATGATAGGTAGGATATGGATGATCCAGACCAGACTGAGAGGACAGGACAATGCAAGAGGACACTAAACGGGACGGAACTGAGCTGGAAACGCGACGGGACGTGACATTGTGAAAGAGGGCGGGAAGGGACAGGACGAGGGGATTCGAGCAAAGACGAGATGAGTGCGAAGCGTGCAGGTGCTCCACTGGACAAATCCTCATTGAGTTATATCCTAATTGAGTGACAACGCGCGGCACGCAATGACCAGTAATCAGTGAGAAGCACACAGCGACCAGTGGTTTGCCGTGACCAGCACGCATTGACCACTGACCAGTGCTTAGTGACCAGTGTGTGCAGTGTGCACGCTTGGCGGACCGCCAATCCGGCAGACCTACGGCCTCTCAGACTATCACCAATATCAGACGGCTGGTTAGCCCCAAACAACGGACCCGGCACAGGACAGCCTCAATCAGATAAATCGTATATAAAAATATGCATTTTCCATTGATTGGAGCAGCGGCACCATGTCCTGAGCACCGAATTCTTAGTTGTAAAATTTATATTTTCTCACAAAAGTTAAACAAAGCATAACTCATAGCCAGCTCTGCCTCTAGTCTTCCTATCAATGTGGTTATTAGATTATGTACTGGTCTCCGATCCGTCAGCTCTACTACGTCCTGCTCCTGGCCGAGGGCCACACCGTCCCCCCTCCCCGCCCCCTCCGCAGAAAATCGACGGCGATAGGACTGCGAAGGTCAGCCCCCCCCCCCTCCGGCTGCCACGCCCCCAGTGTCCCTCCCAAGTGGGAGGACTACATTATCTACATTATAGTGACTACATTAGTGACTACATTATCAGTGCTGATAATGTAGTCAGGGTCGTCGGGTGCAAGTTCGAGGATGGAGCTTTACATAGCCCGAACATGGACCGCTGTAAACCATATGCTATGCCTAAATACATACAGGGTGTCCCATAAGTTCGTTCTCACCTAAATTTTACGTTTTTAGGCTCTCTTGCTTAAAGGCACGCTGAAATTGGTTCGTAACTGAGCTTACGTGGTTGCCATGGCTGGTAGAAATATGCTCCACAGTAGCTAATTTCTGTAGACAAAATAGTTTTTGCTATAGAGCCCGCTTCCTACAGAGACGGCTAACGCCGCAACATAGAGGTCTCCGATACGGGTACGTCTCAGTATTTAGTCAGCACGTGACCATTCGCGACGATTGAGGGTGATTGAGGCCTACCAGTCTGTAGCCAATGTCCATCGCTAACTGGACGCACAGTCAGCAAGTGACACCGATGATTTGTCGGGAGTCAGTCACTGCAAGTTTATCCTCTTTCCAGTCAGCCCTCAGGAGTGAGCCAAGTGGCCAAAACTGTGTGGCGCCAAAGTGGCCATCAAAAAGGTCAAAGGGTTACAAAGTTTGTAAGCAGACTTTTCAGGATGGATTACCAGCTGTCTAAGAGTGTTCTTTCGGGGTACATAACTCAAGGTGACTTAAGCTTTGCTTACCGGAGGACTCAAAACAGTCAAAAACGTCTTAAAATGGCCAAACATGAGTTTCGTTATGCCTGAGGCTAAACAAAACAGAGGGCTGATGACATCAACTAGGTCATCAGGACTAACTAGTCCACGTTCGAAAGGAAACACCCGTCCAAACCCGAAAACAACCCCATAAGGGCGAAGGAGGAGGCCTCCGTTTCGTCCCGTTATGTTCCTATGCAAAAGGTCAGGGTCACTGTGTTGTGGGATTATAGGCGTTCTGGAGTTGACCAAGTTGCAAGTGGCAACCCAGAAACAGTTTCGGGAAGCAGAATGCTTTTCCAAGAACATCTAGGAGGAGTTTCAGCCCTCAAGCTGAACTCGAACCGCGAGTATGAACATATTTATAGAGGAGAAAATGGCATCCGGAAGGTCGTAGGCCCATCTTCAGGCAAGACAGTGCATCAGTGCACAGGTCAAGCAAAGCTTAAAAGCGGTGCAAGGAGACTGTGACAGGCATTTGTGGCAAGATCACATGCCAGGCACCTCATTGGATCAAAATTTCATAAACATTTGTTGGTTATGCTGAAATTGAGGCTCGTCGAAGCGTAGCGCTGTTCCAGCCTCGAGGAGCTCACGGCGCATGTCAAGTCAGTCTGGGTTAACTTTAAGCCTACTATGCAGCCAAACATGCCGGTTGGCATGCTGCAGCATGTATTCATGTGTTTGCCTATTAAATGAGGAGCCTGTTGAGGGGTCATAAATATATTAAAACGCAATGTACTCTGTTTCACATGCAAACATAATGTGAGAACGAACTTATGGGACACCATGTAGGTCGACTCTTTAGTGCCCTGGGTCTACCTAATAACTGATCATTTATGCTTCTTCATTTATCAATGTTTCGCGCGTAATTCAAGTTTTGCATCATACATATAATGGTTAAAAGCAAACAGACAATTAGTTAGCACCTCTAAGCTAATAAGAACTCTTCTTGAAACGACTTATACAATTAAGATATCAGAAAAGAACTATAACACATTTGTGGACCACTGAAAATTTGAAACAAACCAGACACAAAAATTTCCATAAACACCTGACCACCAATAAACAACTTCACACATCACAGCAATTGCCAAACAACGCGATAATAAACAAACACACAGATAACTCAACCTCTCAACCCCTGAACACTTCCATGAGCAGCGGGCAAGCTGTACTTAGCGGGCCGCTTTAGCCGAGAGGCGCAGGGTAGCGGAGCAGCGGAGTAGCGGAACAGCGGAATAGCGACTCAGCGGGAAGCGGCAGCTGTGCGGCAGAGCGGATGCTGGCGTAAGATAGTTCTAGCTGAGCGGATAACAGCGCCGGGTACCATCACTGATGTCGGCCGAATGCTGACGGGATGCTGTTTGGTCAGTGGCTGGAGTTCAGCAGGAATTTTAGGCTGGATGGTGGCAGGATTCTGAAGGATCCAAGATCCAATAAACTAGAGATACGAATACGTTCAACCGAATCACCAAGTCGTTAACTTGATTTTCTGATTGAACGGCGACACCATCCGCCGTAGGAAATATAGTACATAAATTCACAAAACAGGAGCTAAGCTATAACACAACAATCGAAACACAACACACATGGTATCGCACAAATCGAGACAAATCGAGTATAATGCTCACTACGTTCACCAAAACGTATTCCATTGTTAAAAAGGTCAGATGTATGTGACATTAACAACATCTATAAATAACGTTTGACTAACGTCAGCGTAACGTCTGAGACGTCGTATCACTCACCGTTCTGAGTCCGTGTGGCGGTGACTGTGGCGACTGAGTCTAGAGTTGAGTTCTCTGCTCTCTGAGGCAATGGGTTAGCAAAGAGTCAGATAAACATACGTATCATAAAGTTGTCAATTTGGGGAGGCCTAACCAGGCAGAAGTGAAAGATCTCCACACGATTATCAAGTGACGATCATTCATCTTATTGGCACACTTTTCGTACGAATAAGACGACAGGTTTAGGACAATAATTCTACGATCGATTGTTACATTGGCCTAGGTTACGAAACACAGGTAGCAATATTTCGGACAACAATGCAATCAAGTGAGTGACTGTTCTAATTACACTCTGTTTGGATAACACTAAGGCTGACATCAAAAGTCAACACAAAAGCTGGCCTTTAATTCCATTTAAACAAATTTAGACCCGAAGGTCGACGCACCCAATAATGAGCTAACTCAATAAACAACAAAAAATGTTGATTGTGTGCGGCTGACAAGCTAGGTAATTAGACGAATTGTAGGTCAACACGATAATAGCGAACATATAACCCCATAATCCAGCATTGCAAAATGAGTTTCAATAGCAATAAGCCTAATGTCAAACACTAGTGTGTTCTAAATTAATGGCTACGCATAATTAAGTCATCTATTTCGAACCCAAACATGCATCCCGGACGACACACACCCCTGGAAGCAGACACAAAGATAAACCAGGTAGGTAATTAAAAACATACTGCAAACCGGACAGGGATCGTAAATACTAAATACGTACCTGATAGACGAGCTAGTGTCCTCTCCAGCGGCAGCGGGGGACCATTTGTCCGAGATGGTCCAGGAATAAATCCTCAAGGGCAAGCAACGGCGGTTGGCAACAAAAAAGACCCGACTACAGGCAGAGGTGGGTCTAAGGGTTTATCAATTGACTAAGACGGCTATATATGTGGTAAAGCGTGTCAAGCTGCCGACTCACTCGATTGGGATGATATGCGTGCCCTTCTAAGAACTAGCCGTCTTGGGAATAACTATCTTTTGTGCGTGCGCAGTATCTACGGGTGTGACCTTGTCGATTATTGTGGTATCCGTTTCGTTTCTCTACCAACGGTCTAGGGCTGACAGCAATGCGGGAAATGCAAGCAGGGTAGCTTCACTGCACACCCAAAGGGTATTTGCTAGGGCTGACAATAGGCAACTTTACTGCAGACTGGGGCGTAGTTTTCCAGACCAACAGAGCACAGGGGGACGCGGTTACTTCTTTTCACTGCACAGCAATTGATTTTTTCTGATTGGAACGTAGGGCAACACAAGGGTAGTACATATAACTGCACGCCGATGAGTGGTTTGTTCTTGATAAGTGACAGGAAGACGCACTCCACCTGGAGGCCGCATTTACAGACAGTCAATTGTTAATGTGGCTAACAGAGGGTATTCGTAGGGTGGTTTCACGGCACATAAAAAATAAGGGCATCTGCAAACGCGAGAGATGGGCTGATATTGACATATGGTTATTGTAAGGTAGTTTTACCGCACATCAAAGTTGCATCAAAGGGTGGATAGTTAGTTACTGAAAAGGGCAATGGGATATTTCACATCACACCACCTTGCGCAGACTGCAAAGGGCAGCGTATATTCACGGCACACCAGAGAGGATCTACTGTCACTGTCAGTGGGGAGGTTTCACTGCACACCGCATGATATTTACTGAAACTGACAGCAGATATAGCAGCAGGGTGCGAACGCGAGGGAGCTCTGATTGCTGTCGTCACAGCTAACTCCGCTTCATCCAATCCTGTCCACGGCTAACGACAGAAAGCGATGGAGAACGTCAGAGCCAACCAGGAACCGTCAGCGCTGCTTCGGGTCACTGGAGGAGAGCAGGCTACTGAGCTGTGTAAAAGATGGGCGTGAAATGACATATCATGCCGCCGAGTGTACTGCAAACTCAACGGTAAAATGAATAATCAACTTGTGGAATCAGCCTTTTAATATACATATCATTCGTTGTAAAGGATGGTCTAAAACCTAGACACTAGACATCGCCTTTTAAATGAGAAGCTCTATAGGTACTGAAGAGGTTTCGTGCCTACACTATCCAGAACCACACGCCGTTATATCTATAAATCTCCGTCTCTCAGCTCTAATCAACAATTCAAATAGGGAGAAAGTGATCGTAGCCACATGGCAGTGGCCCGCCCCCTGCGCCACCGGCGCACACTGGTAACCGTAGATCAATCTGTGTAACTATGCAATGTCTATAACTTGCGGCAATGGAGGTAGCAACAGTGACCGCCCTCCTACTCGTGGCGTAGCCCTCGCTCCCCTTCGATCCTCATCGGTCAGGCTAGCGAGGTATTTGAGCACTGAGCAGACCCAGTACACAAGTAATCAGGTACGCGTATCAAACAACAGAAAAGCTACTTCTTACATTCTTTCAAATAGAAAGCACACTTTTAAGTTCCAAAGGCGGACTCTATTCAGATACCCAATTATCTTTTGGTCAACGGACCGCTACTAATTTGCGATAGCCCGTATTGGCAGAAGTGAGCCAATTACTGCCAGATAGATAACAACACAGCGATACCCACCGAACCGGGACACGTATTGGGTATCACCTGACAAAGCTAATTAGTAATTACCGTCACTACCTAACTTCCTTAGCGACGATGCGCTTATTTTTTTCAGATTCGGGACATAATTAGGATGAGCAGCGTCAACTCATTACATTTCTGGTTAGCAGACGTAAACAGCCAAGGGAGTGACGACCGAAGACTCAGCTGAGGCAGGAAGAAAAATTGGCACCGGGCAGGGAGACAACATTAGGGAGACCCAGAGGCAACTCAGGTGGGGAAGCAACACAGATGGGCCGAGACAGAGAGACAACATTACGGCGGCCCGGAGACAGCTCCGGGGAGACATGTAGACAATTTGTTTAGCCAAGGCTTGGAGACGATCTGACCCAGGAGGGGAGACAGTTTAGCCCAGGCAGGGAGACAGTTCTGAGGAGAAAGGGAGACAATTTTTTGCTTATCCGAGTCAGGGAGACAACTCAAATGAGATACGAAGATAACTAGCGTTTAGCCGAGCTCAGGAGACAAGTGGGCAGCGCCAAGAGACACAGTTACCTAACCCCAAAACACGGAGTCAATGCCGCCGAGGGGCCCGGAGACCAGGAGACGTCTCCACCCGCCACAATTGACATCTGTTTATCAAGTCTGCTCAGCGCGAACGGGCGGTTGTCAGGCTAAAAATGTTCTGCGGACTGTGTAGCATAACCAACATACTCTCGTGGTGACAGCAGACTTGTTATCTCGCGGCAGGGACAAGCAGGCGACCAGAAACGGGGTCTACTGATGAGTGAATATGTAAAAAACGTCCAGTGATCTCTAGCCTGTCGCAAGAGTGGTTATGCATTTGAATGTCCGTTCACATTGTGGCGGCAGAGATATCTGGCTAACCTATTCTTGTGGGCTAAAAAATACAACAACTGAATATAATTCCCAGCAAAAGTCTTCATGTTCATACCAGTCGAAGTGTATTGACATTATAACTCGCTACCCGTTCGTCCCTTTACGCCTCTACACAACCCGTCTTTTAAACCCAGCAAGGACACTTTCCCTCCAGAGCAGGCAGGCGAGGTTTCGCGCAACGTTCAGGCTTTCAGTGGTAGCAACACGATGAGGTCACATGACTTGGTCAAATGTCTTAGGGTCAGTTCACGTCCCGCATCGCACACTGACAAACAAAATGGTTCGGTCCTTCAAAATGCACGCAATCCTAGGTATGTAGTGGTCTATGATGCAACGAATTTCGAGATGTCACTAATTCTAAACATGACTTACGCTCATACTCAACCAAAACACTGATGTTAGTCAAAGTTGGTAACCTATGTGAGTACATGGCATCAATGTAAATGTATGGCATCAATATAAATGTTATACAAGGCAATGGTATGGTCCCTGATGCCACACTTACTAGAAAAAAATTGAAAACTCCAAGAGAAGGCATTCATCCTTAAACACAAACATCTCTGATATGACTAAGGCATACAGCCATCGTTAAAAAAAGATGTGCTTATTTGCATAGATTTCTTAGATGTGGGTAGAATTTTGACTATCAATACAAATTTAGAATTAAGTCACACAATTCGAAAATTTTAACATAGTTGTGCAGTATATGTATCAGAAAAATATGCCAAAATAGTTACATTTCAGTAGCAATACTTAGAGTAGGTATTTGGATGCACAAACCAACATTCATGGAACCCATAATCACACAAAAAAGGACTCACAAAATCCCAGTATGATGGCATATGAAGTAGCATCACTCATGCCATCACAAGACCCCTAAAAACTAGACTAAGACTGGCCTTCTAAGCATGCAGCAGTTAGCAAAACGGGACAACACGCTAGTCAACACAGGCAGAAGCAGGCAGTGATGGCAGCAGAGAGCTGCCTCTCTAGCTATAGGCGGCGCTGCGCTCGCGCAGGCTCTGTTGGCTTACAGGTGCTCGGGGTGCTCCCTGATGCAGTCGATCATCCCGGTCGGCGGCAGCTCGCCGATGCATATTCTGTGGATGGCCACGAACAGCGGGAACTTCTCCAGGCTCTTCTCCCTCTCCAACATGACGTAGACCTCCCGGGCCGTCTCCGGGCCCTGGGCGCACTGGCCGTTCAGCATCTCCTTCTCCAGAACCTCGATTGTCTTCCCCGTCTTCACAAAGGCCTCAGAGATTCGGCGGTTCCTGCCACCATAGCAGGTGGTGGTCAGGTCAGCAACGCCACAGCTCTCAAAGAACGTGGCTAGCAGAGAGCCGGGGTAGAACACCTCGGCAAACTTGATCATCTCCATCAGTCCCAGCCGGATCACTGCCGCCTTGGTGTTGTTACCATAACCGAGGCCATCCACAAAGCCAGCACCACAGGCCACAATGTTCTTCAGGGCACCACAGAGCTCGACAGCATTGGCATCAGACACCACCATGACACGGAAGTAGCTGGTTTGGATCAGGTCCTTGAGCATTTGTTCATTGCCAGGGCTTCGGCAGCCAATGGTTGTCTCACAAAACTTTTCAGCAGCAACTTCAGGAGCAAGATTGGCACCCATGAGCACACTACACTTGATTTTCAAAATGTCCTCAATGATATGAGACAGGAGCTCTATTCCACCCTCTGGTTTCAAGTGGAATCCCTTGATCAGCGACAATCCAATTACATCTGGCTTCACTTTTCCCTCCAGAGTTTTCAGTGTTCTGTGCAGGAACTGATGTGGCACAACAAACACCAGGATGTCAGCGTCCTTCGCTGCTTCGACCAGGTCAGGAACGGCAACAACATTTTCTGGCAGCTTGTGGTCTGGAAGATACTTGACGTTCACATGGGTTGTATTGATGATTTCAGTGAGCTTCTTACCCTCAACCATCTCCTCGAAAACCCACATCTTGACCTCATCTTGAAACTGGTCGAATTTCGTCACATTGCTTCCTATAATTTTGGCAATGGCTGAGCCCCAGTTGCCGGAGCCCACCACCGTAACACGCTTTCCACCTGCCATCGTCGAGAGCTGTGGCTTGAATGAAGCGATAGCCGCTGTCCGTATACAAACTCTCAAGGTCAGCGCCGGTCGAGCAGCAAGAGATAACATAAAACAAGAAATATTCGGTCCCTTTTTAATTCCGGAAGATGCTACTTAGTCACTTATTCTGCATAAATTGAAATGAGCGAAAAACAACACAGGAAAAATTTGTAAATCGGTAATTTCCCCCTGCGCCACAATCAGAAACTTTTCAAGGTCGCAGAAAGCAAATTTGGAAGTGCAGGCTGCAGTGCTAAGTAAAATGCTGCAAAAACTTTTCAAATAAGCAATATTGCATTATTAATTCACGTAACTGATCCTCAATCATCTAAAAGCAAAAACAATATTTAAATTAATCGAAAGAAATTCAACTTTTGCAATTCATTTCACTTTAGAATGAAAATATACCGAAAGTGTTGCTAATAAACACTAGACATGACACAGATGTCGCCGCAGCTAAGAACAAAATAGATGTCAGGACGGTCGATAGCAGCTCGGTTCAGTCTCGACCAACAATGCCTTCATACGCTTTTATAGAATATAATATGGTTTGTTTCAGGTCAACAAATGACCTCAGGTCATCTAAACCTGATCAACCGTCCTTTTTAAAGTGTATCTCACATAAGTCAACGAAGTTCCCGTAAGCACAATTTTATGGACCGTGGACAAGACAATGCGACGTCTAAAAACACCTGATGCAGCCTCAGCCGGGACTGAGGGAGCGCGGAGGAGTCCATCACAACAGGTGTCTGCTGTCGTAGAGTTCCCGTCGCGCTCGCCACCTGTGCTGAGCAGACTCAGAGGCGGAACCAGGGTTGGGCCTATAGGGGAGGTTGGCAGAGGCGGACCAAGGGTTGGGTGTCAGCCGGGGGAGGGTATGATTCTGGACAGAGGCGGAGCAGGGGTCTTATCTATAGTCTGAAAACATTATTTCACTCCGTCGCCTTCCATAAACCCCTTCCCATCCCGGCTCCTTTTCGCACCTCCTCTCGGCGGTGCGAAGGTGCCGCCTCTGTCGCCGTACCCCCTCCCCCTCCTGAACCGCCGAGTCGCGTCGGAGGAGACTGTCGGTTCCGACGCGTCAGTCTCCGACGACTCTGTTAGTGGCTTTGGGCTGGTGAGGGTGGTTCAGCTTACGGCAAGTGTTCTGTGCGGTGCGTTAGCTGAACAACAGCTTCGGTTCGGTACCCAAACGTGTCGTAAATATTGAATCATAAAGCTGAGCAGAAGCTAACTATTAACTAAGCTCACAAACTAGAGCCAACTAGCTAACTAGCTAAGCTAACTAACTAGCTAGAGAAGCTTACTACGACCCTAGAAAAGTCAGTGATATACACACGATTAGCGGTAATTAGTTACAAGCTCGGCAAACCAGCAAAATCGAGGATCAGCCGCTTATCGGGAAGGCAAGCGGACCGGCGGATCAGCTCATCAGAAAAAAGCTGAGAGCTCAGCGGATCAAAGGGATTAGCAGGATCAGCGCACGAGAACAGCCCGACTCGGCCTGTCAGAATTCGGAGAGCCATCATGCCGGTAAGCGATCAGTGGAGACGGTTCCATTTCACCTTCCCCAACATGCAGGCCTCCGGCTCCAACAGTGCAGCTCTTCCAGTGCACACTCCAGTTCATCCCCAGGGCCCAATTTACCCTTCAGTTCACCTCCCCAGTTAACCCCCTAGTTCACCTTCAGTTCACCCACTCTCCTTTCTCCAGGTCAGCCCCTTCCCCCCAGTTTACCCTCCATTACATCCCCCCCCCCAGTTCAACCTTTAGTTCACTCCCCCTTCCAGTTCAGCCTTCAATTCACTCCCTCCTCTAGTCCCCCCGTTCACCCCCCCCCCCCTCCCCCCCCCAGTTCAGCCGCTATCGGCGCGGTCATCAGTTCACCGGTGACGTCACACTGCTGTTCCGTTCCGGCGCGCCCTGTTCCGTCTCAGTTCCTATCGTTCCGTCTCAGTTCCTTTGCTGCGCCTCAGTTCCTCGTCTTTCCGGGGGGCGACGTGCTTCAGTTGTGCAGCTGATGGCGACGGGACATACCAATCTGTCTGTTCCTTGGAACAATGAAAGGGAAGGGCTAGATGCGACTTTAAACGTCTCGCGTATGTTGTCTATGTTGCAAATATTGTTTACTTACCAGCTATCATTGTCGAGACATGCATAAATCGCTCTTTTTTAGAATCTAAGCATCTGTCTGTTCTCGGGAGTGACGAAGGATTGAAGTTGTGTATGGTTTAAATGCCTTGGGTCTTCTGAAAGGTTTGCTTGTAAGTCTGTTTTGTTGTCGTAATTTGTATGCAGTTTCCGTTGTCGATGAATCTTAGGGTCTGCTCAAACAATGGATAATACCAGCGTGGAACTGTTACATGATGAAGTAACAAACGAGTTGTCCTATTTTCAGTCTTCGCAAAAACACCTTCTGCTGTATTTGCCCATATAAAATGGATAAAGTGCGGCTAATATTCGCTCGGAAGGTCATGCTAGGTCATTAAGGTCGACGGCAGCTAGGTTATAGGTATAGTACTTTTTTTCATGGCGATATGCTATCGCAACGGAAACACCATACGTGGGTTTTGCATAACAATGCCTATATTGGATCCACTGAGTTTTATTCACGATCGATGGCAACACAAGTCAAATTCCTAAAACCAGACGTTTCGGCCACAGGGTGCCTTCGTCAGTGGACACTAGTGATTAATTAAATTAAAAACACATAGTATCAAAAACAATCGGTATAAATCGTTCGAAGTCGACACATCGGGCACAGGCAAGGCACAGGTTTCGAAATGCATTCTTTGGTTCAACATTAAAAACCTAAATTGAGAACGGCATTCATCACGCTATTGTTCTTGTCGCGTTCTTTTGATATGCTGAAAAATTAAATTATATAATTAATGTACCTACAGGTCACAATGTAAATGTCGGAACGTTTAATTCGCTCGCCTTTTCTCAGAGTCTTTCAAAGTTCGCCAATCATCTTTCGTTTAGAAATCGTTTACGTTTTGTTTCCTAGTGCCATCATTGCAGCCGCTTTTGACCAGGTAAAGAATCCAGGTTTTTCGTTCACTGTATCTTGGAAACAGATATGAGCTGCTTCCAGAGCCTTTCTCACCGATTTTGACATGCCTTTTTCAATGACATGAGCACTGTTCCAGTTTGGTAAATTTTGACATTTTTCGATATGAAGGACGAGTGCGTTCGATCTATTGTGGTTCCGGACATCGCGTTTGTGTTCTTTCAGTCGTGTGTCGAGTCCTCTTCCAGTTTCTCCTATGTACGATTTGTTGCATGGGCCCGAGCAAGGAATTTTGTATACCACACTGTTACTATCTTTCTTTTCAGGCTTCGGCTGAGTCAGATTTTCCACTTTTCTTCCGGAAACTATCGTTACATTCGATCCATTTGATCGAAGTTGTCGTGAAATCGAGTCGGCATGTGTTGAGTTTGGTATCGATATATATCGACCTAGACGAAGATGTCGACCTAGACGAAAAACTCCGAGTCCTCAACGAAGTCGACAAAAAGATCCAATTTACGATCGAAAGAGAAAACGAGCAAAAAATATCATTCTTAGACACCCTTATCATGAGATGTGGACAGAAAGCAAAATTCACGGTTTATCGTAAGGTTACAAACAAAGAAGATTATGTCCATTTTTTATCAGCTCACAACGAACGAGTGAAAAGTGGGATCGTTATCGGATTTTTCTTACGAGCATTTAGAATATGTAGCGAAGACTTCTTAGAAGACGAACTGAAGCACATTTTCGATACGTTCGACCGGCTTCACTATCCAAAAGGGTTCCTACTAAGAATGAAACAGGTCAGAAAGCGGAAGAAATCAGAAGGAGAAGCGCCGAAGAGAAACGAAAACGAAGACAAGAAGAGAAGAAACGTGGCCGATATATATCGATACCAAACTCAGCACATGCCGACTCGATTTCACGACAATAAATGAAATCGTGAATAAAACTCAATCATGTCTGATCATTTACATTGGATCCACTGTTATGCTACATAATCTTTTGTGGTCAGGTCATGACCTTCATGACCTTGACCAAACGTGAAGTTTGCATGTTGACCTTTTCCGATACAATATAATGAATATAAGTTAATTCGGACTTCGGAGCATTGATTTTGTCGAGAGAAACGCAATGATAGTAAAATTATTGTCGTAAAGCTCATGAACCAAATATTTTGTGAGAAAACATTTTTTTTATGAAATACTTATTCTGATTACACATGGTCTTTGAAGACCAGCCTCGACATTAATGAGTTGTCAAACTCCTCCACTCGACGTTTCCTCTCAGCTCACCGAGCTCATTTCGGTACGTGATCTCTCTCAACTGTTCCTCTAGCCGCAGGTTCAGTGCCCCCACCATCACGTGATCTACCAGCCACCGTGCACCGTGACAAACCTGTCACACTGTCTGCCTTCAATCTGTCACCGGCGCAACTAATAACTCCCCACAAACCCGACAAAACTCACCCCTCTTCCCGCCCGCCCCAACTCTACCAACCAAATCCCTCCGCTCGGCGAGCCGTCGCCGACGTGTGCCCTTGTTGCCCGTTGTCCGGCCATTCCCACACCGCTATCAGTAGCTCACCTGGCTCAGACGTCATGCAAGAAGGGCCGAATTTACGCAATGCCCTCCGTTTGCCGTCGTTTCGGTCTATGGCGTGGCCAGGCTTCGCGGCGCTGAGGTACCGTGCAGCGAACATTTCAGTTCGTGGCGGCACACGAGACGCAGAAGCTCTGGCATCGCTACCGATTGGAGGCTGCCCAGGCGGTGGTTAGACGGTTCACTAAGGATTTGAGGAGCAGAAGGGACAGTTGGAAGTGCTACCAAGACAGCAGGAGCTGCAGGTCAACAAGTATCAGCTGTTGGGAGAAAGCAAGAGAACAACTGCACTTGGTGCTGGGATATTGGCAGTTACAGGTCAAACGAGAAGACACTTTAGCTGTTGTTGATCATATTCTGCAGGTTGCAGCGGTAGACCGGCAGCTTGCGTTTGATATCGGAGGACATTAGAAGGTTGAATAACACTGAAAATGCCGGGAACCTCGGGACTCACCGCCGGAAAGGCGCGTCAGGTGGTAAGTACCAGATGATATACGTCATATCCGATTGATAATGTGGTATATTGGAAGATTCACCATTTGTAGCAATTTTTTGGTTACGTGGAAAAACATTCGGGAGACGTGTAGCATGTGCTTGCACCATTTTCCCATGCTAGCTATGTGAAATGTGCTTTAGTCTCGTTTGATTCATATGCATTGAAAATCGAATAAGTTCTTAACAGGTATTTATGTGGAATGTTCTAAATACTGTTGTGAAAATATCAAACAAACGTTGAACCACAAGTTGAACACATATTTGACGGCACATCATAATACAAATGAGGAAAAATCCATGCAAGCGGCCTACTGGCAAATGAATGCATCTCTCACATGAAAGGGATTAACTTTTCACCTATATCGCATTCTTCATATTAGCATGTCGTTCGTTACATTCTTTTGTATATTCGCCCTTGTTTGTTAGCATGAGCATTTAAGCGCTATAACGATCATGTGCATTGTGATAGCTTCAAGTACACATTCTATCTGATAGGCTAACATGGGAATTGATGATTTCGGATAAGTTCTTGTTTGCCAGTTGCTACCTACTCAGCACCCGTAAGTGCACTGTGTTCAATCGGGTTATCTCTTAATGATCAA